GGGGGGGGGAAGCGCCTCGTCTTATTCCTGATCTCGCGATCAAGCGATCCTAGTCAGGGTTGACGGATCTCCTCGACAGCATTAGCGAGCATGTCTAGCATGACTTCGTAGTGACCCCAGTAGTCATTCCGTTGATACAGCTGGTCTGACCACGCATTAGACCGACGGAGCCGAGTCTATGACAACTTGGACGATGCGGAATACGTTTTTGGAGCCGTTCTGGCAAGACGGGTCACGCTTCATCTCAAACAAAACAGGCCCTCGTAACACGCATTATGGGCCACTAAATATCTGTTCGGTTCGAGGTCATGCTTCACCCATGTGGGTGACATGGCGAGCAGAATGACTCCAGTCATTCTACACGTAAAACGTAAGAAAGAAACACGTAGAAGCAGCTTCCAGAACTTATTTCGTAGCGTCCAACTACTCACTAGGTTTGGTTCCACCGCTCCAACGCTTAGTCCGACCGATTATCTGGCGGAATGGCTACTGGGCTCAACTGGAAGCCAAGATTCTGCCCATGCTCGCTGGCTCCGTCGAGGAGATCCGTCAAGAATCCGTGGCTTAGACTGCACGATCCCGAGATCACGAATGTGAAGAGACGCCGCTTTACTAGCTGCTAGACATCAACACTGACGTCATTACCTGCACAGAACTTATCAGTTCGTCAAAACAATCGATAACCGGGCAGCCTCTCACTGGGTCACTGGGCGTCACAGAGCCGCGGACTGCGGGCCGCACGTTACCCCCAGAGCCAGCGCACACACAGACTGAGCGCAGTTCGTCACGCAGGCGGCGTCTGCAGTGGTGGGACGAGACGCACGCTATGGGCACAGAACCGCGCACGCGTTTTAGTCAGAGCAGGATTTTGTTTTTGATTCGTGCATTGCCGCTTGGAGGCATTCCGCTATCAACACAACCGTTATCGTTCGTCCTTATGACATTTCCGTGGTTGTCTGGCCGGAATTCCATGGTTTTATCCCAAACCCCGGTATGTGTGAGTGTCCATTTCGACTGCTCATGCACTCACGTTTGGCACCCCATTCTTTTTCACTCATATCACTTTCCGGTTTGATTGGGATAAGAGACCATTCGGCCAGCACTGGTCATTTTAGATCTATGCTGCTTCAGAAGAACGGGTGAAGACTGCCGTTTTTAGAAAAGGGTCAGCTGGAACAGACAGGAACACGTCACGCCGGCTACACTGGCTTGCTGAAACAATCCATTGTTGATTCATGTGTACGCAAAATTACTGATTTAAACTATTATGCGTTAAAACAAAATACTAGATCAATTTTCCCAGAACGTGCTGCATATCCCTCGCAGCTCAGAAGGCATCCCTTTTCACATCCAGTTTAGGTTTTTCGGTAACTTGAAAACTATCAGACGTTGTAATTCGATACGTAAAATTTCTTGGTGAGATAGATCGCGCCAATGCCGTACGATTTGAGAAGTACCGATGCTCCCCAACCATTTCTCTATCACATTGTTCATGAAATTAGCCTCTTTGTGCTCCATTTAAGCACGTGAACCGGTCTGCGGGCCCCAGCAGCCAGCAAACCACACTTAAAGCATAGGTTTCCCTTGTACCAAATACATAGTGCCCGGAACGGTTGTCAGTAAATTCTTCCGCAAGCACCGAGAAATAACTTACTGGTCCACGATAACGTCGCTATATTTACGTGACCAAACAGCATATTGTAAGCCTGAAAATGATACATTACAACTATACAATTTCGTCATACTGAAATGTCTTTTTCTAACCAAAATGTTGAAAACGACTCATCAAAAAGCAGATGACGACCACCTTTGTACTTAAAATAAAAAATACCAAGACATTCGTGGGTTTGCAATAATATAGCGTCCGAAAATTTTGCTATTCGATTGAGGATCCCGCAAAAAAACCTATAGCAAAACCCGGCCTATTGCTCAGCATTAATATGCATCAACAAGCTCAACTCGACCATACGAGCCAGTTCCATTACATGTCTTCACAAAAGCCAGCTCTCGCTGACGTCAGACGGTGCCGCAAGGAGGTGCGGGGGGGGGGGGCGGGCGTGCCGTTCGGTGACGGCTGCGCACGGGCTGACCTGTGCCGCGGGGGGGGGGGCGTGCCGTTCGGTGACGGCGGCGCGCGGCTGACCTGTGCCGCGGGGGGGGGGGGCTGGGCGCGCGGGCTGACCTGTGCCGCGGGGGGGGGGCGTGCCGTTCGGTGACGGCGGCGCGCGGCTGACCTGTGCCGCGGGGGGGGGGGGAGCGTACCGTTCGGTGACGGCGGCGCACGGGCTGACCTGTGCCGCGGGGGGGGGGGGGGCGTGCCGTTCGGTGCCGGCGGCGCGCGGGCTGACCTGTGCCGCGGGGGGGGGGGGGGCGTACCGTTCGGTGACGGCGGCGCGCGGACTGACCTGTGCCGCCGGCCACGTCCAGCAGCCGGGTGCGGGCGGACGGCCGCAGCCGGCTCACCAGGGCGTCTTTCCACAGCCGGTGGGCGCCCAGACTCATGGCGTCGTTCATCAGGTCGTACTTGCCGGCCACGCTGGAGAATACCTCGTGGACTGGGCGGCACCGGGCGGCTGGGTCAAAACACTGTCCAAGCACGCTGGCGCATTTCAGAAATCAATGCTGGAACACGATGTGAGCTGGCACGATCGAAAAACAAATGACATCTTAAATTCCCTCTGCATGTCACGAGTTGAAATGTGGACAGCTTTGTATCAAACAACCGGAGGAGGTTGCGGTAAGCATTATCAGACCTCACTGAAAAAAGCATCAGCACCTTTGCCAGCTTTTTCATCCTCCTTGACTGTTGTGTAGCCGAAGTGGGTGGAGCCGCTGCTCTGCGAGCATCTACGAACAGCTGGCCGAGATAGGGAGATGGCATGCCTGCATAACAGATCTCCTGTCTTTGCAGGCAGTCTTCCCAATTTCAGGCTATGATGCATGACATGTGTGACCTGAAAAAGGTGGACCATATCGTAGTCAACATAACATCGGCCCTGATGCAGACGAATTTTGTCCGCGCAGGTGACATGTTTCTAGCTGGTTTCGAAAGAGACAATTGTTCACAACGCTGTGAAACCACCTTGCTATGCAAATAGATTCGATGCCCCCATCACTTTCCCTCCAGTCTTTGAGGACGCAGGTGGTCATGGGTTTGGTCCACAGCAGTCTAGGAGCCAGTTTCTCAATTTTTCCACAACAGCACTTAATCTTGGTTGTTCATGACAAAAATCAAGCATAGCACTGACCCCGAAGTTCTGAATCCCATCACATCATTCATCCTGAATCCCAATCAGTGTTCAGAACATGGGTGCCTTTACCATACAATTGGCAGTTCCCCTCCCCCTCCCCCTCCCCACAACCCCAGGAATGATTTTTTCGCTGAATTTTGATGGGTCTCTTGGCCTTTGGCTCAGGCCCGACATCAGTAGGGCTTCCTTAGCTGACTTCCACACTGGGAATCACATGAACTGGGAAGTGATCGCCTGGTCGTGGTACCAACGTCGCCTCAGGCAGCGCCCGCGGCAGTGGTTTGGCGGATGTGGTCTGCCTTTGCATGGGCCTTTCAGTCCAGTGATGTATCCCCTGGACAGGGCCCCGGTCAGGGTGCTCTGTCCACCAGGTCCGAGGAGTCGGGACAGGCCCGCCGCTGACCTCGATCTGAGTTCCCGGAGCAGCCCTCTGTCCACCGGGCCCGAGGAGTCGAGACAGGCCCAGGATCATGCCTGGACAGGATCCAGATTTGTCCAGCATGGGTGCTGAATATGGATACCTCCAACTGCTGCACACATTGCATGTATGCATGCATCCCTGCATATGACATCAACCAGCATCCCACCACAAATTCCTCCATGGTTGTTAAACACAAATATTGTTTTGAAAATGTCATGCCTGCACCCAGTGGTAAAGTTTTCTCCTATTTGTCATGAAAATGTACCACCTAAGGTGTTGTTTGAGCCCACCGGTCAGTGAAACATAGGACTAGCAGTGCCAATTCATCAATGTAATTGCAGACTGGCAGTAAGAAACTCACTGAACTCACCATGTCTGCCATTTGCTCTCAGTGACCTTACATGGGCAATAGGTGATGAACTGAACCTGACCCAGCTTTCCAATGAAGCTGGCATTGTCAAGGTACTACTACATACAAATTATACAAATATTAGCTCTTGAAGAGCAGAGTTGCAATGGCTTGTCATTACAACAAGGGATGAATGAAATATGTGTCATATTGCCTATTGTCAATATTTACTATGCTATCACTGCCAACATAGGATAGCACTAAAAGTGAGAAGCCATTAGTGTGAGGGGAGAGTACCAAGGCAGAGAATTGGGGCAGCCCCCTCTGCTATTGGCCAAGGTGGATGAATTCTGCTGCCTGAAATATCAGGATGTTCCACAACAGGATACCCCAGATCACAGACAGAACTTTCTTTCAAACCAACATGAGGGTCATTAAGATACACCAGAGACAATATCAGTTATGTACAAGAACTTAAATACCTAACATCAGGCCCTATTGGTCAACAGGAGGTCCATGTGAACAGGAGGAGGCCCTGCCAAATCATGGGGATCCCAAGACCACAGAGATCCCTGTCAGCCCAAGTAGAGAAACTAATGATAAAGACCTAAGGCCCAAGCAGGGTAAGAGGAACCTTTACCCAGTGACATACATGTAACCTGTAATACATAAAATATACATGACATATGATGCATATGCATACATATTAGATAAAATATAATGCATATACATATGATACATGATATACACATAATACACATTTTTGAAAAAAGTGGATGAAGTCTGAGGCAAACATGGATCAAACAAGTGGATGAAGGCTCTCTGAGGTTTGATGAGGACTAAATAACAGGCACCAGATATCCTACACTGGCCACATGGATCCTACATGGATCAGCCTGCCTGCTTGGGAAAATTGGCAGCACTCTTCATGCATCAGTGCAATTCCTTAATACACAGAAGTATCAGGCCAACATGACAACAATACTGAATTCTGATCATATACATCACAATACCTTTTTTTGCTCAAAGGGGCTTATTATGCTTAACTTATTCACTTGAAAAAGTAATACAAACTATTTTAGCACTGGCAAGACATGCAATGACATACTCTACACATTTTTACAAGAACCAAACTGCAGCAGGAATAAAATATTCTGGTAGTAAGACCTATTGTTTATCTGCTTGAATTATGTTGGCATCAGAAACTGCACAGCTGCATTTCCTACATATTTCCTATGCATGCTCAATATGGAACTGGTCTATTCTGTGGATGGTATCTTTGAAGCCTAGCATGATAAAACTTCACCCAGTCTGGAAAGTGACCATCATTTCCTGGAGGGCTTTCAGTGATATTGAACTGGACCAAACATAATTGGATTTCAGCATGTTACATTAAGTTAGTTCCTGTTTTTAACCACAACAAAATATGACAAAATACAAATACAGCATCAGTGATAATTTACCAATGCAATTTCACAGCTTTCATGTTCACCTAAAAAAAACAATCATTTCCATCCAAGGGACAGCAGTGACAAGCATGATAACTGTTTATTTATCATAGTGAGGACACATCAGATAGTAATTGGGAATTAATATGCATAGAGAGCATCCTAACTCATCACATGTTGAGGCAGCCAGGTGCCAGCAAAAAATGTCTGACCCAATATTTTTCCTATCTGCCACTTCTACAAAACAATGTTGTGCAGAAGTTACATGTAAGCCATTGCTGAGATCATGAGAATACTTTTCAAAATTGGGGGGCTGTAACATTACTTGAGCCAACAAAGCCAATCTTTCCAAGCATCGCCTGCAGGTCCAATGTTCAAAATGTAGCCTTTCGCAAGTCCGGGCAGCCTCTGTGGTAAGCGAAGTGACACTTCTGACACGGACACACTATTCACCACCAATCACGTCGAATCAGCAACTGTAACGTGTTTGGCAAACAAAAGCAAGATTGATATTTGACATTACATAAATCTTTTCGACCAAAATTGTTTCTTGATCGTCACTTTCGTCGACTTTGCCATGTGCTGCCATATATATAGAGATACCAAATATGGTCTTACTTTTAGTGTATTGCATGATGTGGTGGATGGTGTAGTTGTGCTGTCGTCTGAATTTCCGGTTGGTGATTGGCTACACCTGGGCCGTGTTTCCCCATTGGAAGAACGTTCACAAGCTGTAACCTATGACGTCAGAGGAAAGTGCGTCATAGCTGCCCCTGCTTGGACGAAGGTCCCCTAGGTATGACCAGGGATCAAGTTACTACTCGTCCCTGATTACTACAAATTGCTGCGAGTTTTTGCTCATCAATGAGAAACTTGTCCCTGGTATGACATAGGCTTGTTGTTAAAAAAACTGGCGATCAATCGTTATGCGCGTGTTACCGAACACTCTGTTTTTATAGCGATAGAGTGTGATAGTTAAATGCAGTTTCTCGAGATAATATCGCGTCGAATTATCCTCAGCTTCGCGCATTGACATCAAATGCTTGCAAACGTCTATGAAGCCTAGCTTTTGTTTATTGAAGTTAGGGGTAAGTCTGCGCTAATTAATAATGCATCATTGCAACATGCACTTCGTGTTTGCTGCAATTTGCCGGATTCTCCCAAAGCACGATAATTGCCATTCATATCATCAATATGCATTTCAGGTGATAAGTATAGGGCATTGATGCCTGTTGTTGAAGCTATGAAACTAACACATTTGGTTAATTTGAGCTTTATGCATTCACATGACACATGCTTTTGAGGAATATACCCAAACCATGTCAGAACTATCCCACAAGTGGTAAGCATAAGCGGTCCCATAAGCGCTGACATTCACAGTCAGTCACAAAAATAGCAATCCAAAGGTGCAGTCAATGTACCACACATGTGCAGTCAATAGTTCCAGCCTGTGCTTGGTATGCCTACTGAGTGCTGACCCAACCCATTTATCACAACATGATACATGTTATACTTCCCTGCTCCCAATCAGCATTAATACTGTATATGTCACACCTTGCTTCCAGAGAAAGGAACAGTTGGCCTGGCTCTGTTTCAGAAACAAATGAGGTTTCAGATAATGCATCATGCAATATTCTTTCCAAAATTCTACTTTCAAGATGTCATGAGTTTCCACTTGGGTATGGTCAGCTGCCTAATGTAAGCTTAATCTTGCTAATTAGGTGACAACTTGAATAAGATGATATGCTTAGCTACTTTGCTTGTGCTGAAGTATCTTGTATGCATTTCAATAACATGATTTCTTGGTTGCACCAGGGTGTTATCAGATGGAGTCTCTGACTGAAGCAGTGGAAGCTGCCACACACTTTGCTGGGGGAAGACCTCTGCAATGGAGGGAGTGGAAGCAGTGCCTGATGCAGCAAGGTGATGCCCTGACCTCTGATGAAATTGCCCAGCTTGAGGAAATTCTGGCAGCCAGAGGTGATCAGCCTTCAATGAAGCTGTTCCTTGATGACTACACAGAGAAAATGATTAAGTACCAGGAGTGCAGGTCGATCCTTAGCAACGAGCGGCTGCCACTGGACGACGTCGAAGTGACGAGCGCGCTCGGTGGCTGCGTCATCCGCGTGGCCGGCGCGTGCGAGCCACTGGGGCCGCAGCACAGCACCTGCTACACGCTGACGGTGCGGGAGAGTGTCGCCTGTCGGCTGGAGCTGGCGCCGACTGAACCGGGCCGCCGGCTGTTGCTGCTGCTGCTGCGCCGGCCGGCGGACGGCCCGCTGCTGGCCGCTGCCTCGGCCACCGACGGCGCACCGGCGCGGCTTGACCGCCGGCTGCCGGCCGGCCAGTACGGCGTAGCGGCGCTGTTGCTGCCGCGCGCCGCCGAGCGCGCCTCACCGTCGGTGCCACGTCGCCAGCTCTTCACCGTGGCGGCCGGCGGTGACGTGCAGCTGACGCCGGCGTACGTGGCGCACCTGACGGAGCTGTTCCGCCTCTGGGACTGGGACGGCAGCGGCGGGCTCAGCCGCGCCGAATTCAGCGCCTTCAACGAGCTGACTGCTGGCGAGCGGGTGCGCGACGACGAGTGGGCGATCGTGGGCGCCAACTTCGAGACTCGCGACGGCGAGCTGACGCCGGCCGGATTCCTGCGCCTGCACCAGCTGGAGGCCGAGGATAACGCCACGGAGCCCGACGAACTGTGGCTCTCGCTGACGGCACTCGGCTTCGGCCCGGACCTGGCGCCGCGCCGCGCCGCCGGCTTCCGGCTGGCGGCGCGTTGCGGCGCTTCCGGCGCGATGGCGCTCGCCGTCAACGGCGTATCGCCGCTGCCTCGCGGCCTGCTGCGCCAGCTGGCGCTCGGCGGCGAGCCGCTGGCGCCCGGCTGGCGCCGCGTGGCGTTCGAGCACGTGGCGTTCGTGGTGTTCGCGAACCTGGGCCGCGACCCGGCGCACGCGGTGGTCGACACGACCGGCTGCGACAACTGCGAGCCGCTGCTGGAGCGGCCGCCGCTGGTGCCGCCGGCCGGCTGCGCGCTGGCACAGTGTCTGCTGCGCGTGGACCCGGCCCTGCCCTGGAGCACCGAGGTCACGGTGACGGCCGAGCCGGTGCGCTAGCGGCCCGGCGGGCGGCGCCGACGCCGCCGCACCCGGCGAGACGCGCCGGCCGCTGGCAGTCAGTCGGCGCGGCTCCCGGCTGCTCTCCGTCCACACCACCGGCGCTGTCAGGTTCAGCGTTGGTAGTGCCGCGCCGTCAGCGTTGGTAGTGCCGCACCGTCAGCGTTGGTAGTGCTGCGCCGCCATTACTGGTAGTGCCGCGCCATCAGTACTGGTAGTGCCGCGCCATCAGTGTCGGTAGTGCCGCGCTGTCAGTGTTGGTAGTGCTGCGCCATCAGTGTCGGTAGTGCCGCGCTGTCAGTGTTGGTAGTGCTGCGCCATCAGTGTCGGTAGTGCCGCGCTGTCAGTGTTGGTAGTGCCGCGCCGTCAGTGCTGGTAGTGGTACGCACCGTAGCGAAGACAGCTGTTCGTATCGCCCTCAGTGTCGTCCGCGTGCCGACCACGCCTAACGCTCGGTCATGTTGGGTTGGGTCGGGATCCAGTCCGGTCCGGTCCGGTCCGGTCCGGTCCGGTCCGGTCCAGTCCAGTCAGCCGGACTGGGCATGCCATCGCCAATGGGACGCATGCGTGTGATGGCACTGTTGATGTCATAGTCCGTGATAGGTCGTCGGCTCATCAAGAAGCGCGTCGCCGCCTGTCACCAGTCGCCACTAGTCACACACCAGTCAGCTGTCAGGGTCCGTGGTAGGTCGTCGGCTCCTCAAGAAACGCGTCACCGCCTGTCACCAGTCGTCACTAGTCACACACCTGTCAGCTGTCATAGTCCGTGGTAGGTCGTCGGCTCCTCAAGAAGCGCGTCACCGCCTGTCACCAGTCGCCGCTAGTCACACACCAGTCAGCTGTCATAGTCCGTGGTAGGCCGTCGGCTCATCAAGAAGCGCGTCACCGCCTGTCACCAGTCGTCACTAGTCGCACACCAGTCAGCTGTCATAGTCCGTGGTAGGTCGTCGGCTCCTCAAGAAGCGCGTCACCGCCTGTCACCAGTCGCCGCTAGTCACACACCAGTCAGCTGTCATAGTCCGTGGTAGGTCGTCGGCTCATCAAGAAGCGCGTCACCGCCTGTCACCAGTCGTCACTAGTCACACACCAGTCAGCTGTCATAGTCCGTGGTAGGCCGTCGGCTCCTCAAGAAGCGCGTCACCGCCTGTCACCAGTCGTCACTAGTCACACACCAGTCAGCTGTCATAGTCCGTGGTAGGCCGTCGGCTCATCAAGAAGCGCGTCACCGCCTGTCACCAGTCGTCACTAGTCGCACACCAGTCAGCTGTCATAGTCCGTGGTAGACCGTCGGCTCATCAAGAAGCGCGTCACCGCCTGTCACCAGTCGTCACTAGTCACGCACCAGTCAGCTGTCATAGTCCGTGGTAGGTCGTCGGCTCCTCAAGAAGTGCGTCGCCGCCTGTCACCAGTCGTCACCAGTCGCACACCAGTCAGCTGTCACAGTCCGTGGTAGGTCGTCGGCTCATCAAGAAGCGCGTCACCGCCTGTCACCAGTCGTCACTAGTCGCACACCAGTCAGCTGTCACAGTCCGTGGTAGGTCGTCGGCTCCTCAAGAAGCGCGTCACCGCCTGTCACCAGTCGTCACTAGTCGCACACCAGTCAGCTGCGATGGTCCGTCGTAGGCCGTCGGCTCATCAAGATGCGCGCCGCCTGTCACCAGTCGCCACTAGTCACACACCAGTCAGCTGTCATTCCGCGTGACGTCGCCACTGCCCTCACATTACTGGCATCAGGCGCTCTACCATTTGATTCAATGACCTTGTGCTGATACTGGCTGCTAATGTAGAAGCGGTGGGTCAGACGGCGGGCCATGGACCCACAGACAAGCCATTATGTTGGCATGCGCAACACGTGTAGGGTTGCAAAACACAGCTTCCTGGCTATTGCGCAACATGTGTTGACAGGTTCGCGGATATGTCTAGCGTCATTGTCTCGTCACAACTGCAGTTTTAAGGACACGATGAGGCATCGGATGCATTCGTCCGAAGCTAGCACAGATCGTTGTATGTACTGGGTGTGCATCGTCTGCTGGTAGCATAGCCCTGTAGGCAATGTGATAGTATTCGCGTCCTTTTGAACGTTTTGCCTCGATTCGCCAGTTACGTGAAATCGAAGATCTCATATTTACACCTAGGCCCCTGTGCCTTTTGACCAATCAGGTACCGCACCTTTACCCTGTTTCGAAGAGCTCGCATTGCACGTCATACGCGCATGTGTAATGACCCACACAGTGCGCTTGAGTACTTACGGAATCTTTATTTGTCGTTGCCCAACTCATTCGGCCGTGAACTAGTCATCACAGGGTCACAGCGATGGATCACAGCCACTGCTGAATACAGTGTCGCTACAGTGATACGTCTCTGGCGCAGAGTATGGCTGGCATGAGCCAAAGGGGCTGGCAACGCTTGTCTCCAAAGAAAACAACAAAAACGTCTGAGCAATAGAAAGCCGAAAACTGGTGCTGAAAGTAGTGACCGGTGTCTGACCGGCCGGTGAAACGGCCGGTGACCAGTGTCTGATTGGCCGGTAAAGCAGCCGGTGACCAGTGTCTGACCGGCCGGTGAATCACTCGGTGACCAGTGTCTGACCGGCCGGTGAAGCAGCCGGTGGCCAGTGTCTGATTGGCCGGTAAATCAGTCGGTGACCAGTGTCTGACCGGCCGATGAAGCAGCCGGTGACCAGTGTCTGGCCGGCCGATGAAGCAGCCGGTGACCAGTGTCTGACCGGCCGGTGAAGCAGCCGGTGACCAGTGTATGATTAGCCGGTGAAGCAGCCGGTGACCGGTGTCTGGCCGGCCGGTGAAGCAGCCGGTGATCAGTGTCTGATCGGCCGGTGAAGCAGCCGGTGACCGGTGTTCTGACCGGCCGATGAAGCAGCCGGCCGGTGACCAGTGTTGACCGGCCGGTGAAGCAGCCGGTGACTAGTGTCTGACCGGCCGGTGAAGCAGCCGGTGACCAGTGTCTGACCGGCCGGTGAAGCAGCCGGTGACCAGTGTATGATTAGCCGGTGAAGCAGCCGGTGACCGGTGTCTGGCCGGCCGGTGAAGCAGCCGGTGATCAGTGTCTGATCGGCCGGTGAAGCAGCCGGTGACCGGTGTCTGACCGGCCGATGAAGCAGCCGGTGACCAGTGTCTGACCGGCCGATGAAGCAGCCGGTGACCAGTGTCTGACCGGCCGGTGAAGCAGCCGGTGACCAGTGTCTGACCGGCCGGTGAAGCAGCCGGTGACCAGTGTATGATTTGCCGGTGAAGCAATCGGTGACCGGTGTCTGACCGGCCGGTGAAGCAGCCGGTGATCAGTGTCTGATCGGCCGGTGAAGCAGCCGGTGATCAGTGCCTCACCGGCCGGTGAAGCGGGCGGTGACCAGTGTCTGACCGGCCGGTGAAGCGGGCGGTGACCAGTGTCTGACCGGCCGGTGAAGCAGCCGGTGACCAGTGTATGATTTGCCGGTGAAGCAATCGGTGACCGGTGTCTGACCGGCCGGTGAAGCAGCCGGTGATCAGTGTCTGATCGGCCGGTGAAGCAGCCGGTGATCAGTGCCTCACCGGCCGGTGAAGCGGGCGGTGACCAGTGTCTGACCGGCCGGTGAAGCGGGCGGTGACCAGTGTCTGACCGGCCGGTGAAGCAGCAGGTGACCAGGGTCTGATCGGCTCCACAGCTCAACACAGGCGCCGTGTCTTGTCTCTGTTTATTGCCGCATGATCTCGGTTCACACAATCGTGGCGCGGATACCACGTCGCCCTCCAGCCGCCACCGGGTGGCTACGCTACCGGCGCTGTGTCACGCTCTAGTGCCGACTACGGGCGACGGCCGGCCGACCCAGCGCACAAAGCACCCATTGCAAGTGCAGAAGCGCACGGGGTCGTCCTTCGGGGCAGCAGACGAGCATGGCAGCGCCTCCTTGTTTCTGAAGGGTGCGGCTTGGTCGCTCTGGTCAGGAGGCATGCACAGCACCCATTGCAACTGTAAGGGGTGCGGGCCGTCACCCTGGGCGAAGGTACACACAGCAACACCAGCTCGCTTCTGAAGGGAGCGGGCCGCTCCCCCGCGCGGGAGGAGGGCACAGCAGCACCACCTCGCTTCTGAAGGGATCGGGCCGCTGCCCAGCGCGGGGGAGGGCACAGTAGCACCAGCTCGCTTCTGAAGGGAGCGAGCCGCCCTGGCTGGCCCAGTTCAGCAGGGAGCTGCCGGTCCGCACGGCGTCGGCCCGTCACCCGGTCGTCACCTTGGCCGCCCCCTGCGCTCCCCGCTGTGCGTCGGGGTCCGCCCACTGTCCTGCGGGACACGGCCAAGTGTACACGTCAGCGCCGGCCACTGGTGAGTCCAACACGGCAGCCGTGGTCCGGCAAACGTCGGTCAGTAGGGGCTGGAGTTCTTATTCGAACAATAATCGATCTTCAGTGTACCACGAGATGCCGCTTAAACGACATGGTTGATACAGCGCTGACTCTCTTGATAAAACGCGACGTCTCAAGCTGGCCACGCAGGTCACTCGTGGCTGTGAGGCATGGGGTCACCAGCATTAGTGGCGACCAAAAGCACAGTCTGAAACGTTAAAATTTAAGATCGCAGCAAATGCTTTCCTGACAACGTCTCTCAATCGCACCTCCTGATGTAAAGAAGGCCGGCTGTTTCAGAAAACGAATTCTGACAGGTAGCATCCAATGGTGTGTAACGAAGCCCAGTCATGCCAGATCTAGCGTTCATAAACCCAACGAATGACATGAACTATGCGACTTTGGGCTGACACAGCGTACCTTGCCCCCATTGGGGCGTGAAGAGCCATCCAGCACGCGACATGTTCCACCGAGGCACGGCATATGATCTAAAGAATACGCGCCACAGCAGTCACTACAGTCTGACAACACGCAGCATAGCTAACTTAGCCATGCCCAGCGCCTGGTGAGACCGCCGCTGCGCGCAGCCGCTCGGGACCTCTCACCTGCTTGCTCTTCTCCCACTCTTGGTGGAGCTCCTCCATCATCTTGTGCGTGAGCAGACCCTGGGCCAGCAGCCGCTGCGAGAGTCGACCCAGCCGGCCGGAGCTCTCCGACGAGTCTGTCTCGACAGACGCGGGCGCACCATCAGCATGGCACGCACGGACGCACGGGCAGCACGGGCGCAGGTCAGCACGGGCGCAGGTCAGCACGGCACATACGGGCGCAGGTCAGCACGGCACATACGGACGCACACGCAGCACGGCACACACGGCCGCAGGTCAGCACGACAGACACGGGCGCGGGTCAGCACGGCACACACAGGCACAGGTCAGCACAGCACACACGGGCGCACGGGCAGCACGTCACACACGGGCGCACTGTTAGCACGGCACACACGGGCGCATGTCAGCACGGCACACACGGGCGCACGGTCAACACAACACACACGGGCGCAGGTCAGCACGGCACACACGGGCGCACTGTTAGCACGGCACACACGGCGCATGTCAGCACGGCACACACGGGCGCACGGTCAACACAACACACACGGGCGCAGGTCAGCACAGCACACACGGGCGCAGGTCAGCACGGCACACACGGGCGTAGGTCAGCACGGCACACACGGGCGCACGGGCAGCACGCCACACAGGGGTGCACTGTTAGCATGGCACGCACGGCCGGCGCAGCTGAGGGCAGGGCGTGCGGCTGCAGGTGCGTGATGTGCGCATCACCCTGCCGTGTCTGCTACGCGCTGAGAGAACGCTAAGGCATAAGTCACACTTTTGGAACAATGCACTCTGCCTCCTGCCAAAGGCCGTGGCCATCGTCACACGTTAACTTATGATACCTGGACTTTATCTGTAATTTGGCGACACTATCTAACAACATCATACATAATAGCGAGGTCACACAGGTCAGGCAGCACGCACCGCCGGACTGAAGGTAGGCCTGCTGTTTTCGGCTAGCCGTGTATCTGTCTTCGTCGCCGAGCCGGGAGGCGGCCGAGCTGCCGCCGCCGCTCTCCGTGTTCTCCAGCAGGCGGACGATACTGGCCACGCCCTCCTGAATGGTGGCGTCCAGTTCGCTCCGCATCTCGCGCACCTCGGCGGCGGCCGGAAACAGGTCCGGGAACCGACAGCTGGCGGGCACACGGACCGGGCAGTCAGGCGGGGGCGGTCTGCGTGACGAGCCACGGCTACCGAGCCGGCTCTCACCCAAACCACGTTTACAGAGCCGGCTCTAGCCCAAGCCAGGGCTATCGAGCCGGCTCTCACCCAAGCCAGGGTTACCGAACCGGTTCTCAACCAAACCAGGGTCACCGAGCCGGCTCTCACCCAAACCAGGGCTACCGAGCCGGCTCTCACCCAACCCAGGGTCACCGAGCCGGCTCTCACCCAAACCAGGGATACCGAGCCGGCTCTCACCCAAACCAGGGTCACCGAGCCGGCTCTCACCCAAACCAGGGATACCGAGCCGGCTTTCGTGAGAGCTACGGCTACGGAGCTGGCCCCCACCGGAGAGGGACTACCGAGCTGGCTTCCGCCCAAGAGAGGGACTATCGAGACAGCTCCCACCCGTGAGAGAACCATGGAGCCAGCTTCCACCTAAGAGAGGACCATGGAGCCGGCTCCCACCGAGAGGGGGACTGCCGAGCTGGCTACCGCCCAATAGAGGACTACGGAGCCGGCTCCCACCGAGAGGGAGCTACCGAGCTGGCTACCACCCAACAGAGGACTACGGAGCCGGCTCCCACCGAGAGGGGGACTACCGAGCTGGCTACCACCCAATAGAGGACTACGGAGCCGGCTCCCACCGAGTGGGGGACTACCGAACTGCCTACCGCCCAAACGAGGACTACGGAACCAGCTCCCACCGAGAGGGGGACTACCGAGCTGGCCACCACCCAATAGAGGACTACAGAGCCGGCTCCCACCGAGAGGGGGACTACCGAGATGGCCACCACCCAATAGAGGACTACAGAGCCGGCTCCCACCGAGAGGGGGACTACCGAGCTGGCTATCACCCAATACAGGATTACGGAGCCGGCTCTCACCAGCTCCCAACCACAGGTCAATAAGCCAGAACTGTAGATCCAGCTCTCTAGCCGAGCCAGACCTACACACTCAGCTGCCCACCCGAGCCAGAAGTGTAGGCCTAGCCTCGCACCTGAGCCACAGGTAGATATCCAGCACGTCGAAAACGTGCTCCAGGTGCACCATGTCCAGTATGGTGGCCGGTGTGGTGAAGGGCCAGCCGACGTTGGCGCACAGCCAGTCCACGGTGATTGGCTCGTTCCTGCTGTACTGGCGGGCGAACTGGCGCAGGGGCACGCGAGGTTAGCGGCGGGACAATGCAGGTGCCACCGCTAGAGCGGGGAACCCACACAGGCAAGTCACCATTACGGTCAGAGCCGCGGAGTGCTACAATGACCACCGCTGTCAGGGCCAGTGCCAGAGCCGCGGGGTGCTACAGTGACCAGTGCTGTTAGAGCCGCAGAGTGCTACAATGACCACCGCTGTCAGAGCCGAAGGGCGCTACTGTGACCACTGCTATCCAAGCCGCCGAGAATGCATGCGTAAAGAAACTGGTTTTGAATCTAAATCGGCTCTTGGCTTTAAATTTAAGATAGATTTTTTAACTTGATTACGTGACTGAGGCGTGGTACAGGTGTCCAGTCCTGCACACCTGTACAGATGTACAGGTTATGAATGACTCTCCCCTTCCCAGTGCACCGTCAAACATACAGTCTGCATACATTAGCATGGTGCGCTGCTAGCGTGTTTGGAACAGCTTACCGACGGGCGTCATTTACCGGATTTATCGCTCCCTGTCTGCCTGGTTTCTCACTACGCTCTACTGCGACGCCTCGCCCAAATCCCGGGTGGCGCTAAGCGCACGGGCTGCGGCTGGGAAGGCTGCTCAATATCTGACAATGCCATGGCCTTCGCAGACTGCCTACTAGTTACGCTACCGTCCGTCCGTCTCCTATTGACACTGCGCAAAATGACTGATCTTGCGCAATTTTGTGCAATATGATTGATCTTGGCTCTTTTGGTCGAAAAGGGGGTACAATCTGAAACAAGTGCCCTTAAAGCGACGCTTGCATCATTAAATTGCGGAATATACACTATTCGATGCGCCACAGCTCCATACGACCCGCTCCTGTGAAGTGGCCATTTGCTGGTTACCGTGGCTATCCGAACTAACCTCTTTTGGTAGAAGACCATCACAACTGTACTGAATGCAATCGCAACGCTGCCACCTACTGCCATGCTTTCCTCTTAAAGGGGTTAATAGTTTTCATTTTTGCTCTCACCCTTGACCTGAAAGAGTTGTCGAACAGCTTTTGGTTTATGAGTATTTACTGGCGCGTTATTCAACCAGATACAATGCAAAACCATTGGGCTATTCAATGGCGGTGAACGCACGCAAAACAACAGCGCCACAACATGCAAGCAAAAGCCGCCCAGTGAGGTTGTGCACTGACCTTGAGGAACATGTTGCAGATGAAGGGAATCTTGCGATCAATGGGGGAGCAGCAGAACAGGTAGCGCGCCCGCAGCGGCAACGGCACGTGCTGTATCATGTCGGCCAGAAACTTGAAGTCATCCGTTTGGCAGAGGAAAGTAGAGCGAGTCGTCGACAGTAGACAGGCTCACGAAGATGTCCTAAAACGGGAGCTCAGTGCTAGCGCGGCGCGTGCGGTCGTGTCAAACGTACGTGGAACCATCGAGCGAACACAGCTCACACTGAAGAAGTCCGCGATGTCAACAGCCACCGGTCAGCTGTCGAAGCATGAGGCCGGTGCGGCCACAGCCCTCGGAATCGCTGGTGGAAACCGAGCCACAGACAATCTCCCGCGCTGGGACTTAAGCCCAGCTAGACCGGCCGATCCGAAACCAAACACCTTCAATCCCTTCGGCGCCCTGAGCCGGCTTACGGCGCGTGACCGCCGTCTGCGTACGGAAAGCCGCAGGCGGGCAACTATCGGCGACGCCGTCCAAATGGCGGCGCGCATCCTGCTTCCCTACACTGCAGGGCAGAGCCAGCGCAGCCGCGGCTCGTTCACGATCGCACTGCTGGTCCACAAAGCGGCCGAGGAGGGCGGTCCCAACGGGCCGCAGCTACAGCCGTAACACTGCCCGCTGTCTGCCGGGCGCGTGCTGTGGAGGGCACGGAGCGCGCTTCACCCAGCCAGTGAGGCGTCCGACACGCGGCTCGGGTCCGCGGTGTCGCACGCACCATCAGGTTGGAGAGAGTAGCCTTGGGCAGGTGGTAGCCGTAGAGTTCGATCTGCTCGGCCGTCGGGTGGATGCAGGCCGCCGACAGCTCGGCCGGCTGCTCGTCCAGCAGCCGCTTCAGCGTGCCCAGCTCCTTTTCCTTCATCGTGGTCACGAGTCCCTGCCGGTTGAAACGCACACCGTGTACTCCGGCAAACCGCGCAGCAGTGCGGCCCACGGGGATGTCGTGCGGCCGGCGGCGGTCTGATCTCGCAGCGTTCGAACCTGGGCCGACAAGTGTGCAGACTGGTTTGACCTGGTCCCAGCTGGTGCCGTGCCGGCCGGTCATCTGAGCGAACGCTGCTCTGACCTGGGTCTGACGACCTGAGTGAATACTGCTCTGACCTGGGTCTGGCGACCTGAGTGAATACTGCTCTGACCTGGGTCTGGCGACCTGAGTGAATACTGCTCTGACCTGGGTCTGGCGACCTGAACGAACACTGCTCTGACCTGGGTCTGGCGACCTGAGTGAACGCTGCTTTGACCTGGGTCTGGCGATCCTGAGCATACACTGCTCCGACCTGGACTGGTCCGTCGTTCCCGGTCGCACTCATGCGCCCTGGATCTGACAGGACACCCCGTTCGGACGCCAGACCTAGCTCCACCAGCATCCGGCAGTGTCCGGCCCGCTCTGACCTGGTCCCACTTGGTGGCGTGTCGGCCGGCGCGGCCGGCGATCTGGTGCGCCTGCGAGCAGCTGATGACATCCATCTCCTTCTCGCCCTTCTCGTTGATGGTCGGCTTGATCAGCGTGTTGAAGATGATCCGCCGGATGCTCCTGCCAACACCGGACGGCGACGTGCCGGGAGGCAGGCGGGGCGGCAGACAGGTCGGCAGTGTTTCAGTGCCCAGCCACATCAAGATGACCACGTTGAGATCAGCCGTCTTGTAACATTCTAGGAAGAGCAAGCTGTGCTCTGACACCCGAAATCCGACAGCCCACCAGCAATGCCTCAGAAAACAACGCGTACATGGCCGGAAAAGCGAAGTACAACCCACCCACGTAAAAAATAACTTCTCATCTTTTGCAGCTATTGCGCCACTAATTCACCAAGTTGACTCGCACTTGACGTGGCTGAACACCACACCACCCGACGGGCCCTGTATCACAACTCACAGGTTCAGGCCCATGCCGATAGCGTCTGTGGCTACCAATATCTTGCACGGGTCGTCCGGGTCATTGAAGCGCCGCGCCTGCGCCAGCTTCGCCCCCGGCGGCAGGCTGCCGTAGATGACGGCACACTCGTGGCCCAAGCTCTCTGAAAGGGCGCGCACGGTGCCACCTCAGCCGCGCGCCGCGGACCGCCCCGGTCGCTGCTTCGAGCTCTGGCGGCGGCGGGCCAACAGGCACACGGCTCAACACCGGGCACAGCATCCCTCCACGGTCGCCCCACCGGCGGGCGGCACCGGCTGTTCAGCTGCCGTCACCAACAGCAGGCCACCAGCAGCTGCCCCCACCCCCCGGCGTGGGGGCTAGGCCCGGCGTGCACTCACCGATCTCACGAGAGATGGTGTAGATGTCGCTCTTGTTGAAGCAGACGATGCAGTCGCCGGGCTGCACGTTCTGAAGCGAGCCGAGCGCCGCCTCCTCCAGCCGGAGCGGCGTCAAGCGGCGGTAGCGGCGCACCTCGAGCTCCTCGCCCGTGCACAGTGCCATGCGCTGCACCAGCTCCAGCGCGGCCGGCTCGCCGCACACGTGCACCTCCTCGGCTACGACGCCGAGCAGGGCGCGGGTCCAAGCCCAGCCACGCTGGGGGTCGCGCAGCATCTGGATCTCGTCGATGACGGCCACCTCGTCTGCGGTCGCAGCCGCCAGGTGTCAGGGCCAACACCAGCGCGCCGGTCGCGCACGTTGTTGGGCGGAGTCAGTGGTGTTCGCGTGGGTGGGAGTGGGGGAGGGGGGGGGGGGGGGGGGTAGCGCGACGGACCAAAGGACATCAGGGCAGAGGAGGCTGAGATCAGACAGACGCGTTTCGTTGTCACGTCACAACAGTCGGTGGCTTTTTGCCCATCGAAGTCCGCTGAGTCCCTGGTTACCATCAAGTTTTTAGCGTGAGCCCGGGACGGCGCAGGTAATCGCAAAACGCTACATATATTCTCCACAAAAGTATACTAATAACAATTTAATGCTGATTTACAACATTGAACAGCAGCACAGCGCAGTCAAAGTGGAGGCTTGAAACCAGGCCTCCACACCAGTCCCGGCCGTGTTCATACGCGCGGGACTGCCGGGTGCGCTCATCCGCTGGGCGCCACACACGAGTGGGGGCCGCCGACACCCAGCGCGCCTCACTCACACGGGTGGTTGACGTTGGTCATCTCCACGGTGCACGCTACGTGCGCGGAGGGCTCGCCGTCTGGACTGATCAGCCGTCGCTCCTCGCCGGTCACCATGTCGCAGTGGGTGCCCTGCGGCACAGCCGGCCAGGTCAGGGTCTCCCTTCCCAAGTCTCCCCTCCATTCACTGAAGCACTCCGCGTCCGCTCCTGATGAGCCAGGCAATGCCTGCAAGGACCGCATCCCTGATCTGAACGCTGCTTGTCTGGCTAGCCAGTCGTGCCCCTGACCAGGCGGCCGCCGTCGCAACTGAACGCTGTCTTCTCATGAAGCCTGCCTTTTCCGAGCAGGCCGTATCACAACATGGCAGCATACTACACTGCAGCCTCACCTGGTCGTTGCACTTTTCGAACACTTCGGCGGCCAACAGCTTGAGCGGGCCGCAGTAGACGCCCGACTTGGCGGCGACGAAGCGCCGCAGGGCGTGGAACGTCTTGCCGCTGTTGGTGGGGCCCGCGTGGAAGACAATGCGCCGGTTGATGGCCCGCGCCTGCGGGTACCTGGGCCGTGACCGGGGTCAGAGGCGGACCCTGGGCCGGCCAGCGGCGGCCAGTCGGCACTGGCCGGACGGCCGCTCTGATAGAAATGGCTGGGCAACGGCAGCCATCTGCCGTATGGAAATCGTCACTTACGCTTGTCAACTGATGGGGTAAGTGGAAACAAACATTTGCAGCGTCTTAACTTAATTCTGACCCTGGTCCTCATTTTACCGGTATTTTATATTTTACCGGTATTCAGCGTCCTTCGGAAGGCGACGGGGTCCCCATTTGCTACACGCCACGATACAATGGTCACGATCATGCCTGTTTTTACAATGCATGTGTTGGAAGATGCGTTTGATTACTCTTATCGGCATTGGGTTTAGCGCAAAAAGAGATATTCGCTTAAGAAGTCAACATTCAGCGAATTGCTTTCGCGGTGATTTCTACTGATTAAGTAAAACAACACAGAGTGAAAGACGTAAACATAAAAATGCAAGATGTCGCCGTTGGTCACAATGGGTAAAACCCGCACACCCGAGGAGTGATACCACAGGGCAGAAAACGGCTTCGGTTGCCAAATGCCCTCCACATACAACGACAGCAGCGCCCCTTCAGAAGTGCCGCTTATTTCCGTGAACCGGCTTCACGACTCCATCGCACACACATTCACCACAGCCTTCCTGACTCTCCAACCGGGAAGAACAGCATGCACAGCAAACAAACATACCAATGAACCACAGCAATCACAGCGAAGCAAATTCTAGCCCGCCCCTCAGCGACATGGGCGTACGGCATGGCCCCGGGTGACAGCATGGCGCCGGCACCAGCGCGACCCAGCCCGGTCCTCACCAGTTGGCCGGCTCACGCAGGTCACTGATCTTCTTCAGGTCGTCCATGCACTCGAGGTGCGGGAAGATGGTGCGCGCGTGCCGCAGGAAGTACGGGATCAGATCGTCTGTGTGGCCGGCGCCCTGCAGCACGCGCGCACAGCGTCCCCGTCAGAGCGCAGCGCCACGCCAGCGCGTCCAGTGACGTCACCTTACGTGTAACACACGCACGCACCCTCGCATACACGAACAAACACCAGCGCGTCGCAGAAATTGGCGCCGCTCGAGACGAGGACGGACAAAACTGCCGTGCCCGAGACGTTCATAAAGTGTCACAGACGTGACTGCGTGTCGTGACGTCATAGTGACGTACCCGAAGGATGTCGCTGAAGATGATGTGCAGATCGGGCGGCAGGTTCGCCGCCTCCACGCAGTAGCGGCGGAAGCTGACGTACGCCTGGTGGAACAGGTATGCTGCGGGAAGGACACAGTGACAGGTTCTTGGTTCCAGACTCGGCCGTCCAAAACAGCATACCGGCGTCAGGCATGGTATTTCAGAGCGTGAGGATGACAGGATGCGACTAATGAGCGCAAACAAACAAGGCAAGAACAAACAAACACCAAAGAACAAACACGCGACAGGTCTCCAAAAACAACAAAACATCGAGATATACCGTAGATAGAAATAAAATGTGGGTATGTTCATAACCATGTGCAATATCAACGGCAACAGCACGAGCCGCAGTTTTGACAGAGAGCACTAGGCAGCCCCTACTACCGCGGCCGGCGCCGGCGGTGCGGTCACACCCACTGTCTGGTCCACCCTCCACGGTTCCATCACCGCCCAGTCCGCCCTCTACCAACCCGCGCATCACCCAATTTGCACTCAAAGGTCTCACCCACCATCCCGCTCGCTCTTCACGGCCCCACCCACCGTCCAGCCCGCCCTCCATGGCCCCACCCACCGTCCAGCCCGTCCTGCACAGCCCTACCCACCGTCCAGTCCGCCCTCCACGGCCCTACCCACCGTCCAGTCCGCTCTCGGCGGTTCCACCCACCGTCCAGCCCGCCCTCCACAGCCCTACCCATCATCCAGTCCCCCCTCCACGGCCCTATCCACCGTCCAGCCCGCTCCCGGCGGTTCCACCCACCGTCCAGCCCGCCCTCCACGGCCCTATCCACCGTCCAGTCCGCTCTCGGCAGCTCCACCCATCGTCCAGCCCGCCCTCCACAGCCCTACCCATCATCCAGTCCGCCCTCTACGGCCCTACCCACCGTCCAGTCCGCTCTCGGCGGCTCCACCCACCGTCCAGGCCGCCCTCCACGGCCCTACCCATCATCCAGTCCCCCCTCTACGGCCCTACCCACCGTCCAGTCCGCCCTCCACGGCCCTACCCACCATCCAGTCCGCCCTCCACGGTTCCACCCACCGTCCAGTCCGCTCTCGGCGGCCACGGTGCGGATCTTGGGTCGCTGGTAGAACTTGTTGAGGATGCGCAGCACCTCAGGCTTGCGCAGCTTGCCGACCAGCTCGGCGCCCACGGCGCTGATGTCATCAGAGCCGGGCGCGATCGGAACAGGCACGAACAGGCGAGAAATGTCGTCGGCCTTGTGACGCGCGCAGGTGGCCGCCGCCGGCGGGAGGTGCCGCAGCAGCGCAGGCCGCAGCTGCGCCGCCAGCCGCCAGCCAGCACGTGCGCACTGCATGCCCGCAGGCTGGGCGCCGCTGGCCCGCACTCCGGCTGGTCACGGGTCGCTCCCTCGGAGGTGACGTGGGACTGCCAGAAAGCTGGGGGTGACTATGGAAGTACCAGATGGTGACCACATGTTACATGTATACCATGGTTCCCACAGTTTATGACAGACTCATCATGTGACATACACCTCATCAAAGAATATCACCATATTTAAATCAGAGTGTGTTAGTATTGTGGCCTTTTCAACTAAAACCTTGAATAAAACAAGCTGTACTCCCAAAGACATATGTAAGAAAGTGGCCTAGCATCATTTTGTGTTGCAGGGTTCACTTTTGCATAGCAAAGTCACACAATCAATGGAGATTGGGAACCCAGACACAGTCCCTGAGACCTCAGCACCTTGCACTTCTTATTTTTGTTTTGAGTTTAGGCAACCTTTATAGTTTGTATAGAGGTCATGACCAAAGCCAATCTCTGGAATTCTTGCTTAATTTCTCAAGGTCTGCCAAGCCTTGGAGGAGCTTTCCAAGCCTAGACAGAGAGTGCAATAGTCAGAGGTGCAATTAGGTAACACATTTTTTTCATTTCCATGTGAGATTGGTAGATCTTCCACAAATGACTATCAGATATCCTGACATATAATTTTTTTGCAAGGTAACCAATTGATCACTCTTTTGCAAAGCACCTTAAGATATTTTCCACCAGTCTTACCACTTCCTGACCAGCATGAAAAACAGCCATCCATGGTGCCTGATTTATCTGGGTGTCCGAGTGCAGAATCTCTGTCCCACATGCATCAAACTCAGCCCAGGAAAAATTAAATTTTCAAGATATTTTTTAATACAAATATCTTAAAAGATTTTTCAACCTAAATTGCCCTTGCAACAGCATAAGTTCCTGAAAGATCAACTCTCCATGTACTAATACTGGTGGTGACTGAGTGCCTAGCTGTAAGAGCTCAGATGTATGGTGCACATACACCAATTTGTTGCAGTAACATCACAAAAAAGATAACTGGTACATCATGTGCTGCTGTTAAGTGAATCTAATATTTCCAACATGGCCGGTTTCCAATACGCTTTTGGTTGATATATACACCTTTTACCACGTGCAGTGAAGTGACGTGCAATGGAAAAGCTGAAAAGTAAACTTGTGCAGCCATTTCAACATACTACAGTTATGGTAAGAACACACACGGTTTACAATTCTTACTTTAAAGTTTGCCGCTTTTCTCACATACTACCCTGATGAATCAGCACACAACTGCAGACAGCATGTAATAAAACCCCTTCCCATGTGTGCTGTTTTTTTTTTTTAGTGGGCACAAGGCGATACATGCCAGCTGAAACCGTCCCAGCAACGCACTTCTCGGCAAAGGTCCCTATTTGACGTCACCGTGGGTACACTTTTAACGCTGGGAGGGCCGTACGTGTGATGACAGCCATGAGGGATCGCATGTATTACGACGAGTTCGGTGGGTGGAGGGATCCGTAAGGTGTACGTGTTTCCAGAGCGCATGTTTGTTCCCTGGTCGACGATGAGTGTGTGGAACAAACTGGTGCGTTGAGGCTAAAATATTGTTTAGAAATGTAGGAAGGTCGGGAGTTGAGCCTGGAGGATGTGTCTCATCTATATAATTTTGGAAGGATGACCAGTCCCCTCTGCGAATATTCCATCAGGGAAGAAAGTTATAGTCTATTTTCCCTGATGGGACCTCTAAAATTGAAGTGGATTGGGTAATGGGCACTAAAAAGCGGGTACGGTTGAACATCGTGCGTAAAAAGTGGTGCTATGCGTGGTGTTGTTAATGTCAGATCTATATCAGGGTATATAACTGTGCCTCTGTGGTGCTGCACATGCGTATGGGTCAATTCGTTGATGCAATGAGCTCAGGATATCGCAGCGGGGAGCCTTCATGACGTCACTTAGTTGCATCGACGGACCACACGCAAATTTAGGCTGTAGAGACCGCCATCTGTAAATCCTTGGGTCATTGCAATTAGCTTGGAGGATCGGTGACTGCCGGGGACGGTCGTACTCGCGCGTGGGTCAGGTTCGGAAATATTGATAGGAAAGGACATTTTGTTTGCCAGGAAGTTGAAATCTGTCTTGGTGCAGTTTTTAATGCAAGTCGTATTGCTGAGATATGCTTGACGATTGAATTCTCAACTGACTGCTTGTTCTATTATTATTTACCACTGCGTGCCAAATGTTGGGAGGTAACAACATGTCAGATTTCCTTTACCCCATTGACATTTTCCGAGCATGTTAGGTAGGTGGGTACCTATATGTTCAACACCTTCAAATTATATGTTAGAAAGTGGCCAGCAATTATGCCATTATCCATAACTGCAGTAGATATGGCAGGTTGGCTTGGCCATTGAGCAAAGCATGGGTTCCTTTGTGTTGATTTATGTGTGCAGTACAGCAGCATGCATGCAATTTTGTTTGCTCATTCCTTTAAATGTCACTACCATATTCATATCAACCTTTCTGCTAGTACATAGGCACAGATATAAAAAGTATGGTGTTGACTTGCTCCAGCATCAGTGAGAATAATAAATAAAAGTAATGGGTAATTATTTTTATACAATTGTGTATCCTGTCCCATCTGCAATGGCCAACATGTCAAAAGAGTTCTTGTCAGGCATGACTGACATTTAGTTTTGTCTCTTGGTAAGGGGCAGTGTTTTGGCAATGCAAGCAATGAAAATGTTTTATATTATTGTTTCAAAAATACAAATTTTATGCCATTTTCCTCATATATTCCTTAAGGTTACTTGATAGAACTGTTTTTGTAGCACTTTGATTTTTACTAAGATGTCATATTGTGTACCTGAATCACCAGACAAGTTTGATTGGCTTTGGCTTTAATCAGATGTATAGAAGAGACCAGTTATAACACTACTCTCTTAATAATCACATTAAAGTTTGTTTATTTTCTGCAAGCAACAAACTTAACCATGGTTTGAGACAGTTAGCCTAACAGCTGTTTACTTCCAGGGCAGGACATGGGTGAGGTCATTGTTGTTACATGTCATAATAGGTGTGGAACATTACAGATCTTTGGTATTTTTTAACTCTGAGGTACATTGTGTCTAAATTGATGTTTAAAATAAGCGAGATCTTTGATATGGATGGATTTTGCCATACATGGTTCAGACTTCAGATCATAACTATACACTGGTGTTGCAGTTTATGGTGTTTACCTTGCTGATCTGACTGTAACCATGCTGTTATGGTATGTGATTGCCACTACACATCTTTATCTGTATTGCTTACCAACTATTGTTTTCATGCAGCACATGGGCTGTAGCAGGTCCTGAAAACTCTACCAGTGGCTTTAAAGTCTCAAATAGCTAAGAGAATGAACTGAAGGGGCACATTCAGCAACACACATTTAAAGGTTTGTATGTCCACTCATAACGATGGTCCGACCCCTCAGTGCTGCGGTCAGTGTTTCCACTGTTTATCTGCCCAAATCATAACATTTGTGCAATTAATGCATTTACTTAAATTGTGCAATCTGTGTGTTTATGCTCATATGTGTTTAAACCTAGCTCCATGGATGAACTAAAGCTAATATTCTTTTTTCTTTTGAATTGAAGATATCACAGCCTGTTGTGACGGATTGGCCGAGCAGTGGAGCTACCGCTCCAGCATATATCTGGCCCCTGCGCGCTCTGACCGCCGCTCCGCGGTGTCTGTGTCCTGCTTTCAGACGGGTCTGGGGCCAGCCCAGTCCGGCGAGATGCGCTGGTGGGCGCGTCTGGTGGCGCTGGCCGTCGCTGTCACCATCATCCTGGCTAGCCTGAGCTTCTGGACCCGCTGCGGCGACGAGCGGACCTCGGCCGGTCATGACGCCCGGCCGCCAGACCGTGCCTCCGCCCTTTCCCAGGTGAGGCGACCCTGCTGCTGGCGATGACGCTCAGGCTGCCTCCTGCCTCCCGTCACCCAGCCAGACATGTTGTGCATCATATCTGAATATGCATCACATGGCCCGCATTCCTAGGAGGCACCCTCCTGATGCCCTCAGGTGGCACCCTCCTGATTCTCTCAGATGACACCTTCCTGACCTTATCAGGTGATACCTGTCCAATCCTCTTAGGTGACATCCTTCTAACTCTCTCCGATGATGCTTTCCTGACCTTATCAGGTGATACCTGTCTGATCCTCCCAGCCAACACCCTCCCGACCTTCTCAGATGACACCTCGACCCTCTCAGGTGACACCTGCTCGACCATCTGGTGAAGGTATTCACACCTCAGCAACCCCCTGTGATCCCCAGGAATGTTTGCTGGCTCATCTAAGGGAGGTTCTGTTGGCTGGGTTCGGTTGCCTTATCAACAGTCATTAGTGTAGAAACTAGAGAGGTATGTAATCGCCCACCGCCGTTACGCGTGTGACGTATACCCAATTCATGACATGTTGATGACTAGGCTCCTTGGGTGGAGAACTGGACATAGTGTTGGATTTGGTTGGAACAGGGGTACAATGCTCTTTTATGGCATGTATCTTTTTAGGACGCCCAGTTTGGTTTGGAAGCATTGACGACAGCTGATTTCCGCAACCGACAGAACCGCACACCCGTTTTTGAAGCGATCACGTGAAACCAAATTAGTGCTTTTTGCTGAGCTCATTAGGATGCCATCTGCTTCATTATGAGGTCATCAGATGTGTTGGTAACTGTCTATATTCAAGCTGAGGAAACATTGTTCATGGATGGATCTTTTTCGATTCTGTGTCAGCGCATTCTGAGAGCACAGCGCCACCCCGCCGTCATGCTATACGCCACCTTTCTTCGGCTTGTTCCAGATGGACTTTCAGCTGACTGATTTTGACAAGATGTCGGACTTGAAATGCACTATCAACGATGAATACTCCATTGACTGCAAATCATCCGAGAAAGAAGTATATTTCCCTTTCACATTCATCAAGAAATATTTTGAGGTAAGCATGGGTCTTGTTCTAGACAATGATGCATGACAAATATTGACAAAAAGGGGTTTGAAAGGCTGCTACAACAGGCATATCTCACTGGCATTATGACAGTTTCTCTGTGAATGTTGGTGGGGCTGGTGCTGAGCCACTCATGAGGCACAACCCATCCATGGTCTATCTAGTTTATTTTGAAAACTTCCTGTTAAGAACAGGGGAAGATGACCCCAGGTTACACAGGCGAATGCATTGCAAGATTGAACTGTTGAGCGCAGGGAGAACTTGCCAGCCAAAGTCTGCTGTACTTGTAGAACACTGTTGCAGATCGCAGTGGGAGTGTGCACTGTCATCATGTAACCATTTTTGTGTGCATAAGTTAGTTGGGACGGTGCATTTCTTACACGTCATATTGTGTAATTGCAGCAGAATGTTTTACAGAGATGGTTTTGCATTCAGGATACTTGCTTAACGTAGGTTGTTGGACATGCTCCGAACTCGCCACTCTGTTGAAGAAAATCCCACTTGAGGGGCAAGTTTTGTGGGAAGATTACAGCATGCCACGCAGTGCCGCTCACGTCCGGCCCAGTGGCTGATTAACCAGTCAGCCGACTCTTGACTAGCAGCTGAACCTCAAAGACCAGACCCGTGAGCACGCTTCGGTACGCGACCCCACGTGCCTGCCACAAATCGGCCGGGTTGTCCGACGCTACCAACTGACCAAGAGCTACGCACAGTAAAATGCTGCTGATTTCGACCAGCCTGATCATTTGTCATGACAGGCAATTTGCGTACTGTTTTTTCCATTGTTATATCACTTGGTGCTTGACTAGAAACAATTTAAGTGTCAACTTGAGCTTCAGCTTGTAGTAGTAACATTAAGTCTTGTAGACCACATGATCTGACTGTGGATAACATACCCCGGATGTGGGCAATATGACCCTATTGTGATACATGATCCGACCCAGGTAATATTGCATGACCCCTAATCTGTCTGGTTGCACAGACTGACCCCAAATAATTGGTCTGACCCTGGGAACAAGCATGACGCTAGCCAAGGTAACCGGAGCTGAGCCGGGGTAACAGCACCTGACCCTGAGTAGCATGATGTGAGCCAATGGAATCACCTTACCCTGGGTCATGTGACCTGGGTTCGGGTGACCTGACGTGTCCCGGATGACATCATCCGACCCTGGGTGACTTTAAGTGACTTCAGACAACCTGGTGTGACCCCAGTTACCTGACCTGGCACCAGTGACCTGACCTCACATGATAAGCTTGACCTGGCATGAGTTACCTGTCCTGACATAAGTGACCGGACATGACATAAGTGACCTGACCAGACACAAGTGACCTGACCTGACAAGTGATCTGGCTTGATACGAGTGACATGACCTGAGCAACCTGACCTAACTGACCTGACCTAACACAGGTGACTGGTGACCTGACCCAACACAGGTGACCTGACACGTGTGACTTGGCCTGACACAAGTGACCTGACCTGACAGGTGACCCGACCCCGATCGGCAGGTATATGGGGAGCTGTCGGAGGAGCGGGGCCGGCGCGTCTTCAAGTGGTCGCACAGCTACGGCAAGATATTTCCTCCTGCTGAGCCGTACCGACCGGACGGAGAGTTCATGTACTTCGGCTCCTACAGCGTCGAGAAGCGTGACCGGGTCAAGTGTGTCAGCGGAGAGCACGGTACGCGTAGACGGTGGCGTTACCTCAGCTGTTCTCAGCATGTCACCTGGATGCTTTGTGCTCTCAAGTTCAGCAAACTGACACGTAATTGGGCTTACGAGGAAAGTATACTCGCCATGTAGGAAGGCTGGAAT